AGTTGTTTTGATTTTAATAACGGATTTTCCATAATTCAGCTACGCAGATTTCGAAAATAATCATTTTTTCCTATAACGTAATTTTTACAAATCGGGAAGAAAACAAAAACTCTTACTTAGGTCAAATTATTATTTCGTTTACCACAATGAACATTTTCTATTATTATGTTTGTAAACAAAAATACAAAGAAACTGAAGAAAAGGGTAGAATATGCATCCTCATTCATCGTGGTTTGTGTGTGTGTGTGTGTGTGTGTGAAATTTACGTCTTTTAGTCTCAAAACTACGTGTTGTGGTCTTTCTTTTATGTATTGCGTTTTGTGTAAAATTTGTACATGATGGAGAAAAATGGATATCATTTTTGGATTCAGCGTACAGGAATTACCGTAAAAACATGTAAAAATATCTAAGGCAATAAAACCGTCGCAGGCCTGTGTTATATGCCTTGTGTTATATGCCTGTGTTATATACCTTGTGTTTCTAATATTAATAATAATCCTTTATTTAATAATGCTATCTTAAAACATTCGTACAATATAATTATTGCAGCTCGATCCGATTCTTAAATTAATCAGTTACATATTGTTTCATTCACATCGGATTTTTAACGAAAGCTTTTCTGTCATTTCGAAAGGTAGAGATTAAATAATCCTTTATAATTTAACAATATTATAAATGAGGTTGGCTAACCTTACCTCTGACGACAGGCTTTAAGTATGATGTAGAATTTTGGCGGCCGGGAGGAACATTGTTCACTACTTTTCCTCCTTTACCAGGACTACTGGTTGAGGTGCTAGACTCAGTCTCACCACTATTATTATGAGAGGATGTTACTGTCATAACGACACGCGCATCCTCGTTGTCTGACGAATATGACGATTCTTCGCTGAACGGAACTGGACGTATTTGTGACGCTCGCTGTTTTCGGGAAAAACAGCAAAAGTGATTAGTTGTATGCATACAACCAGACAGAGTTATGACTTTCTGATTTTTTTTATTTGTGTCTTATTTTGAGCTTGAAAAGTAAAGTAAAAAAATTAGCTAATTATATGTTTAAATACGTCTCTTACCCCCTTCACTGTTGCATAAACAGGAATATTGAGATCTGTAAAGCTGCTACTTGGTGAAGGTTCACCTGCGTTCATTCCGTTGTTGATCGGAGATTCTATGTTAAGATAAGATAATAGCGTTAAATACAAATTTTAAAACTTTGTTAAAAACAGGATATACTTTCGAAATAATGTTGAAATTGTTACATTTTAGAGCTATTCAACCATTATGACAATATAAAAAACAAAATGTTAAAATGTTTGAACGATGTAGTATGCCTCAAACTTCACACAGAAATGTTTGATAAAAATCAGGTATCTAAGATGTCTGATAAGAGTTATCAAGATCTTCTTTCACACAAAATTGTGAAGAATACGAGGAAAGTCTGTTACCAAGTGTTAACGAATCAATGTTTGAATATGATGATCTCACGCTCTTCTTGAAATAATATTATTCAAACTTCCGCATCTAACCCTGTAATTCCACCTCTCATTGAATATTTATTTCTTCAGTTTTTGTTTTCCTTAACTATTTGGACTTCTGATATTTTACTCCTGCTTTGTATTAACTAACAGAGGAGGAAAACTAAAACAAATAATTATAGCTTCTAACGAAATTGTTTTTTGAAAGTAGTTAATTGTAGATTAAAAAAGGATCATGGCTTCTCAAGGCAGGGGTGTATCTATGCTAACTGACTGTATATTGAATTGGATCATAAGTCAATAAACCGAACAACATATAACTTATGATATTACACATACCAAGTCAAAACAAAAACTATGATATTTGTCATAAACGTTTGTATGATCCCGAGCATAATCTGTGGTAGCAATAGTCACTTTCTTACTTAAAAAAAGTAAAACATTTGAAAGAGGGGTATTAATGAGAAATATTTTGTCGGTATGGCTCCCATTTTTTTTTCTCAGTGCACAAACACGTTGATATAAAAATGGGTTTGGTTTGGTTTGAATTCTGCGCTAGCCGTCCCTAATTTATCAGTGAAAGACTAGAGGGAAGGCAGCTAGTCATCACCACCCACCGCCAATACTTGGGCTACTCTTTTACCAACAAATAGGGAGATTGATCGTCACATTATAACGCCCTCATGGCTGAAAGGGCGAGCATGTTTGATGGGATGGGGATCCGAACCCGCGACCCTCAGATTACGAGTCAAACTCCCTAACCACCTGGTCATGCCGGGCCATAAAAATGGGATCCCACTGTAAAACGGTGTACCATATATAATAAAGTAAGCTAATGAAGTGCTAGAAACAAATAGTACTGACTTAACTCCCGGTAGTAAACCCATTAAGTTTTTATTTGATAATATCAACCATTATAAAAACCTATACAACTAAGTACTCAAGATACGAACGGACCTCACTCTTTTATTTTCTCACAAAAGCGTGTATCATATAAACTTCATCCACGATGTTACTTAATGCGGAATTCAAGTCGATGCTATTGTACTTGGGTTTGATGTATACGTTTGTTAGCATACTTAGAATAACTTAGTACGTACCTAATTTCGCTCTAACAAGAACTGAATCTGATGATACGTTAATTCCATTGACCGCTATTTCGTAAATCCTGGACTCCTGTAAATTAAATAATACAGAAAACGTTATAAAGCAACGTATAAGTTCTGTTTAACCAGCGTTTATAAAAGAAAAAAACAAACTTCAGAAATCGATGTAATTAGATTCAAATATCTGATATAAATCATTAAATAAACTAAATATTAACTCTTAAACTAAATAGTCGTGCATATTCAACACGTGAGCTCTACATTAACAACTGGGGCTAACACGAACTCTCTGTATTAACAACAGGGACTTTAACAGCAGAAGCTCTACTTCATCAACCAGGATTTGCATGTGCTTTTCTTTAACAACTTAGACTTGTACGACCCATACTGTAATTACTTTGACCTACACTTAACAACGTAGACTTACAAGAACTGTACTCTAAGAACTGAGGTTCACACAAACAGTACTCTAACAAACTTACTTTCATGAACTGTCCTCTAACAATTAAGACTTTGAAAGCTTAGATTTACGTTAGCTCTACTTTAAATGCCTAGTCTAACACGAGCTCTACTCTAACAATTTAGATTTACACAACCTCTAAATCCACATCAGAAACATTATTTTAGCAGCTTATAGATGCAAGAACTTAAAAGCTTAGACCCACTGCAAGTTAAACTTGTTCGAACTTTCTCATCCATAATAACATGAGCCTGTATAGCCATATCGTTAATTGTGATAACAATCCTGCATTTGTTGCACTTACTTCTTAATATCCCTGGAACGTCGATAACATTTATCAAACACATTAGCGGGTCTATGAGACACAGTTTACATCACACCTTAGCTGTTCTCTAGCTAATGCTATAAAGTATTACACCCACTAGGTCAAGGGCACGCAAACTAGGGGTTGCAGGAAAGGCCGAGGGGATGTGGAATGTTCTGGGGGTGGTCATTGTGCTCAGAAAATTTGAGAATTTTGCACTAGATAACTGTAGAACATAAAAAAGGATCTTCTTAAGAGATGCAACGAAATTTCATATAAATATTCCTGTGAATAATGTCATGTAGCGCAATTAATAGTCTTGCGTCAATCGATACCATACAATTTAAAATATATGCACCGCAATTTCAGCTAATAAATGTCCCGTAACGTTTAACTTGATTGCAACCAAGAAATATTTCAAATTAAAAGCAGAAAAAAAAGCTAAATCTAGGATGATTTTATAATTATCGTACACCAATCAAAACCGCAAAAGTTCATAATGAATACAAGATAAGATTACCTGTATCACAGGTGATTTTATAATTGACGTACGTCGATAAAAAACCCAAAAATTCATAATGAATGTAGGATACAATTAGCTAAATCACAGATGATGGTATAGCTGTCGTACGCCAATAATAGCCGTAAAAGTTCAAGTTAAGATTACGTTTGTTATGAATTTCGCGCAAAGCTACACGAGGGCTATCTGCGCTAGCTGTCCCTAATTTAGCAGTGTAAGATTAGAAAGAAGGCAGCTAGTC